AGTTAAGAAAAATTTTCAAACAAATTGACGCAGAAAAATCTCCATGGTAAAATTATACAATTTTGAAAATTTTTCTTAACTTTTTGGCGGTACCCCTCGCTAAAAGTAGAAAATTTTCTCAGTGATCAAGTGTGCTGAATACGAAAAAGCACTTTTCTTTAACTCTAAATGAACTTTAATTTTTTGTCGGTGATATGATGGCATGAAAAATTTGTTTCATACCTTATGTAGCTTGGAAAAACAGCTGTCGAAAAATTAGCTGCAAAACCATGGCATCTGCAGAAAACTGAAGTTTTTATGAAACCAGTGAAGTGACAATCGGAAACAATATATCCTATAAATCTGCATGATGTTCGCTATCGGTTAATAAAACAAGTGTATTACAACAGTAATTTTTCCTAAGGAAAAATTTTTTTTTCTTAAGTGATATTCCGAACGGCCATATTGATAAAATGAGCGCCCCCTTCACATTCCACTCTAAAATTCCGTCAGAATTTCTCCGAGTGTTCAGCTACATGTCCTCTATCACCACAGACAGCATACATTAGCATAAATGTTCCGGGACCGTACAACAGATTTTCCAAAACACCTTTTTTTAGGTATTTCCATTTTTCTCGGCTCAGGAGCCCTTTTATTCAAAAATAAGGTCATATTTGAAATCAGCGCACTAAACTGCATCGAACAGTATATAAAATATCTAATTCTCGAAGAAAAATCTTTTGCGACGAAATTGTTGAGCAAACAGGTGTTTTGGGGTGAACAAATTATTTCTGAATTTGTTTCTTTTTGATTGATATGAGTCTTTGGGTGCTCGGAGGTCATTTTTATGGGAAAAGAGTGGATTCCTGACAATAAAAATCACATATCTGTCTGATCTGTAGAAAGTGCACACGGTGATTCTTTCGGAAGTGTACTACAATTACATCGACTTTATCCGAATTGTTCGAGAGTAACAAGACTAATACAACTTGGGCTCCTGATGACGAATATCACGTTTCAAAAATTCTAAAACAACAGGACGATGGTCATCTAGACCTGTTGGGATCGATATTCACCATTTTTTAGTGAAACATTTTCATGATTAGATTCTATATGTGCAGAGGTACCAAATCACTAACGGACAAAAAGTTCCAAAATGTTAAGTCAAGCAAGCTCCGCGAAATAGGATCGCTCTCAACTCTCTACGGCCTTGCCTTCAAAAGTCAGAGGCTTTTAAGTTTCTCGAATGGTGCGAACAAGATTAAAAATTTTGCTTTCGAAATTTTTCTGTTCTTCACAGAAAATGATAAACAATTTTGAAAATGCAAGCTTGAAGAGCAACCTGTTCCCTTTAAAATGAGACGTTCGCAGGATTTAATTTTTTCGTCGTTATCGACTTATAAGCATTCTGCTAGAAGCTATATAAAAGATAAGTTTTTCTTTCATTCTCCAGAACAAAAAACTCCAGTCGCAGACATTGACACCCATCACCACTACCCCACAAAAAACTCATCCGATCGGGCTCAAGTTTTTACCAGAGGTACTTCAGACCTTATCTCAGCGGTTAGTTTTTCTTTCTTAAAAATCCTGCGTCCGTCCCGATTTATATGACTTTTATGAAAATGAAAAACTTGGGTTTTATCGGGTTTTTAGTAGTTTTTCTATAAATCGCGAAGGTAGCAGTATTTTTAAGAAAGAAAAACTAACTTCTGAGATAAAGTCTGAAGTACTTCTGGTAAATACTCGAGCCCAGTCGGATGAGTTTTTTGAGGGGTGGTAATGAGTGCCAATGAAAAACCGAGTTTTCTCGAAATCACGGGAAGGATGACAGATAAAGAGCTGATACAAAAACGAAAAGGTACGCAAAATATTTTTTCATCTATCCTCAAAAAGCGAACTCTTTATCACTTTTGGTTTATTTTTGGCACCGATTTTATGAAGAGGCGAAAATGAGGGAAAGGTTAACCTTACGACGACCCCTACAACCAGCCCCCTTCGTATTTTTAAAAATACAAAATTTGTTGTCTAATTGACAAGGGTTGATTACGGTTGGGAGATTACTAGTACATTTACGCGTTCTGCTTCTTTTTTTGATCTGTCATCATCATCATCATCATCATCATCACCATCAATGGATAGAAAAACACGTGCTCGTGGATTTATTATGCTGTCAATTATACTTAGTGTATTGGCACTTGTTTTTTTTATAATTGCACTATTTTTACCATATTGGAAATTTATTCGTTTGCGACATAATTTACAAATAGTTGATTATACTTCGATTGATCTATTGGTACATTTAGAATCAGAACAATTTCTTGATTCAATGTATCGTAGTAATTTACACTATTTTGGTATTTATAAACGTTGTATAGAACATTCCGCATCAGCCACATCTTCGAAGCCATCCACTGCTCCGGCTGATACAATTAAATCAGGCAGATGTGGTCATAATTATGTTCCAAAATTTGATGATAGTGATTTTAAAGCATGTCATAGCGTTAAATTATATCATTATTGCATATTCCATTCATTATCATCATCAGGATCTTTACCAGCATCAGACAGTTCTGAAGAAATATCACCAAAATGCGAGTGTCGTTCGCCGGATTACATAACGATATCAATGGTGTTATTATATCTATCAATTGCATGTGCATTTTGTTGTATATTAATTAATTCATTAAGGTTAATTAATTCATTCAGATTACCAATTGCAGAAAAGAATAAAAGCAAACAAAGAACACGAAAAATTATTGATGATCGGTTACTCAAGATTTTATCGGCTATTTGTTCTTTATTTACACTAGTCTTTTTAATTATTCTTTTAATATTACAAAAGTTCAGTGAAAAATATGAAGCCTTCAAATTTTTCGAGTCACTGAGACAACATTATTCAAGGGTACTAATATCTGAATTCAGTAAAAATTTTGCAACAGTAATCGATCGTTTTGATAATGTATTGGATGTGAAACTGGGTGCATCGTTTGTTTTCGCAGTATTTGCAGTTTTATTTACATCTATTGCATTTTTGTGTTCGTCTGGTGTACATATTGGCGCCTATGATCGATTTCCACCAGAGCAGAAAAACATGGCTAATGAGTTGAGAATCAAGGATGGAGAGAGTACTTTTTCGACTGCAGTCTGAATCGAGTATAAGGCTCAGAAGAATGTCACTCGAGCGACCTGAAAAGCAAGTTTTTGAAGTTTTTCATGTGATTTACTGCTTTCCTTTAGCTATTCATCATTGTAGAGAACAACAGCGCGTGATTCGACTTAACTTCGTTAGTCCTTTGTGTCTACTTTATTCAGTTGAACGTCTTTTTGATGTTATATTTGTTTATTTTCTAGTTTTATAAGAACTTCATAAGAAAGTGATAAGAGCCGTTATGTGACTTTTATCTATTTTATCTATACAAAGAAAGGGGACGATAAGAGGCTACAGGACTAAATTATTTTTACAAGAGACAAATTGTACCTAAAAGACGATATCAGCGATGTTTTAAGTACTTTTTCCTCCATATGCAAACGCGGATCCAATCTGTGTTTGATATAGAAAAATCACCAATGGTAAACTGAATAATATGGTATATGAACCATAGTTACGTACCGTATCAGGAGATTATGTTAATTAAATTTCAATAGAACATCGTAAAGAACATTTGCTTATTTTAGTTTTAGTTTTTTCCAGATAATGCTAATATTAGGGGATAGTCTACTCAAACGTTTAGACGTGTCATCCCTGTCTGTTCAACAGAATATCCCTATTACAATTGAATCGATAAGTGGATGTACAATTAATAATTTGGTTGATTGACTTTCAATTAAACAATTTATTGATGTTTTAGAATCGCATTCATCATTAATTGTTGTAATTAGAACAAATAATATTCCAACAGAAAATTGTCGTTTGGCTATAACAAAAGTAAGAAAATTTCTACATTTATTATGTCAAAAGCATCCAAAATTCATTTAACTTTTGTTAAAATACCTTGTCGTACAAAAAACAGTGTTTGGAGTAAGGCTTTCGGTAGCAACGGAGGAAAAAACATATAAAAATGAGTGTAACTTTTTAATAAAAAATTAGAAGTGCTAAAAACTAAAGTATCTTCGAAAATTAAATTTGATTTAACTGAATTTAACCCTAGTAGTACCAAGCCTTTTTTTAGCACTCCATTGGTAGTATACAGTTTTTCCTAACGGATTATTTTATTTTTTCATCAGTATTTTAGTACTTACTTGTCATTCGCATGTTCAATGCGATAAAGAAACTGTCAAAATAACGACCTTTATTTATTTGGAGCATATAATACAGAAAATACGCTTCACAGAATGCTCATTGCAAACGAATTCTGAGCATTTGTAGCACTTATTTGAAGTTTTTCTATCTTTAGAAGGATCGCAAGTTGAACACCGTTTTCGTTTACGTTGAGCAGAGTTTACATTTGCTTCCTGTGTCTCTTCCTCCACTACAGGATAGCCCACGACAGCTAATGCATTTCGAATGTCTGTGTGTAAGTTTTTCGAGGTTCTTGAGCGATGATCCAGAAGAGATGAGACCAAACTCATTCCTAACTCCTCAAGGAATAAGCGACGTTTATATCTTTTGTTTTCATTCCAGTTGATATTCTTCTCTTTCCATATGATTAAAGCATTTATAGCGAAAAAAACATATATGTATATATAACAATGACCCTAACATCGAATTAAGAATAGAAAAAAAAGTAACAAAATATTCCCACTATGTTTTCAAATTTTTCGGTATGGGTCAAAAATGACCCACTTGGTACTAGTAGGATTAAATTTACGAAAAATGAACGTTTTACATCGTGATGGTTTACATCCAAATAGAAGTGGTACTTCATTAATTGTTCATACTTTAAGCAAATATATAAATGAAAAGAAATAATGCTGTTTGTGTTTTTTTTTATAAAAATAAAGAAATTAATAATAATTAAGCTGTTGTTTTGTTTTTCTTTTAATTCTAACATAACAGTTTAGTTCAAAATTTTAAATTACAATGTTGATTTTTCTCTCGGTGTTTTAGATACAGAATCAATATGTCAGTTGTTAAAGCATGGTCAAGTTCGGATGTTCTTGCTTTTCTAGATGAGCATGGATTATCATAGTTCGCATTAAAATTTATCGGTGCGTTACAGTAGTCTTTTTTGTGTGACAAAGACAAAATGTCTATTCTGTTATTCACGTGCCCAATGTATTCATCAGATAAGGCAAAATTAAAACGTAACTTCAGCGGTTTTCGTACACATATTAGGCAAATTCATAGCAGTAGTCCTGTTTTTCAACTTAAATGTCCTAAATGTTAGGATGGAAAAATCGTAGTCAGTCGCAAAGCTTGGAAAAACATTTACAACGTAAACATGGGAACGGAGCAGTCAGAAACATCGTTGAATAAATTTTCGGGGTTATTTCAGTCGAGTGAAGATGCGCACGATAATTTTTTATGTTCAAAAAATGCAGTCTCATTCGAGGATAATCCACCTCAAAACAGTGATACCGAAGTACAACCATTGTATCCTGTAGGAGATTTGCGCAAACTTTATTTACATTTTTTGCTACAATTAAGAGGTGAAGCTATGTTAAGTGCTAGAACAACTCAATTAGTTAGCAGTTCGTTAGAAAACGTTGTTGAGAGCATTGTTGGCTCACGAAGGAAGTTCCCCAGGTGTTTAAAGCCTTGGGTCCCATCTTTTGGGGATAGGTAGACCTCGATGAGGTATGAAAAACCGCAAGAGGATTTATTCCCGAGATATCCAATTCTCAAGATACATACGAAACGGGACCGAAGTGGAAAATGATCGTTCTTAGAGAGCAGTACAGTACTCAGGTGGAAAATTTTCAAAGCTTCATGCATTGCTCGTACTGCCTATTCTGGATTTAGTGCTAGGTCATATCTCATCAGTACCACCTCTAAGGGCTGTTCATCGGGTCACAGAACATCCAGAACTCTTCATTTTACATCTGATTTCATTATACATAGCAAAAGTCCGCACAAGAGTGACTCAATGAAAATGATAGTTCAGAAAAAAAGTGATTGAAACATAGTGGTTTGTCACATCAGCTGCAGCAGATAAAAGGAGCTGCATCGCATGAAGGTGCAGCGCATATTGTTGTATCGGAGGAAAAAACACACTTCGCCCACTGTTTTGAAGGATTTGGAATGATTGTCTGTGTAACCACTGGCATACCAAGCGTATTGGATCATCGGACGAAACACCTTGGCAGAGAGTTGATTGTGAGTGAGAGACATGAGACGAATGATGTTATTCCGTTCGCTCATGTTGATGTCAAGTTCATCGAGTAGCACACGATCGTATAACCGACGAGGAATCACTTTCATCTGTCTGTTGAAGAAAACGTCCGGTGGTTGAATTTGATCCGTCGTTTTTTTTCGATATCTCCAGCCTTGTGCATCCTGGGATATGATCGTATAATCCCTTTCCATATGTCTGTCCACCCCAACAGTCCGAGATGAGCAGGAACTTTTGATGTTTTCCTAGTGACGGAAGGAGTACATGATCGCGCCAGTACTCAACCAAAGATGTTGTGAGCTTTCCAGAACTGCTGCAGGTGATCACCACATTCGACGTCTTGAGAAGATACGAGGGAATATTGTCACTCAGGCGCCCTGTGGGCTTCTTCAAGCAGAGGTAAAGCGGTGAGAGGAGATGACCGTCGAGTGTGATTGTTGGTTGCGCTGTATACCTGTGGGTGGTAGCATTCACAGAGCGAACGGATTCAATCGTTACTTTCTCCCTCTATGGCTTAATGTTCGAGTAGAGTGGAATTCGAGCTGAATTTCACTTTGGTCTGTGTTGAGAACTTCGTGTTCTTCGTACTGAGGTAAGCGTCTACGAACATCGGCTACAAACTGATCGGCCGAAGTTCTAATCGTCTCTTCATCTTCTACGTGGCGCTTCGTCACAATCTAGCAAAAACAAATAAATTCAGTAGATTTGATTTCAAAGAAGCCTAGGGCAAACGACGACTGTGCAAAACTGAAACTTGGAAAGCCTCTTTTTTCATGTTTATCTCGTTTTAGAGGAGAGAGCTTCCTTCCCAAAATTTCTTAGAAATAGTTACAAACCCTAGTGAAGCTTTTTTTCTCAAGCATATGAGTAAGCACATACCTCAAGATTTGTCTCCATGCACATGAATTTCTTACTCATGCAAAACGCTTGAGGTATGTGCTTGACTTTCTTGTCTCATGCGCTTGAGTTGCATGAAGTATGCGCATGAGGGGAGAAATATCTAAAACAATGTGCATA